GCGGCTGGCGGTGTTCCGGCTTCGGCGGCGGTGTTCCGCGGCGCTGGCTGTGTTCCGGCTTCGGCCGGCGGTGTTCCGGCAGCGGCCGGCGGTGTTCCAGCGGTGGCCGGCAGTGTTACGGCGGCGGCTGACGGTGTTCACTCACTCACTTCGTTCATTTCAGCTGGCGGTGTTCACCTGACAGTGTCGGGTCTCACCAGTATGGTTACGTAAGCTTCGATGGCATGGATCAGCCATATAAAACCCGTCGCCGCAGCTGTCGCTGGCTGTAAACTACGCCGCTGCGTTCTATTTTTCGGGTGTTTTGTCAAGTGCCTAGATGATAGGCTGTGGTTCCGTCTTTATTCCTCGCTCTCACTCTATCGCGTTTTCCTTCCTACGTGGGTGGCACCCCTTGCTAGAAAAAGCACTCATGAATAGACGCAGCGCTGGAAGCGCCCCCCCCCCCCCCCTTCCTGTCGCCGTCAAGCCAAACATCAAAGCTCAGCATTTTTCTGGTACTTGCAACCTTCCAGTCTGTGTCTTTGTCATGGCTATGGAATTCGATTGATCGACCTTTGGCGCGCCAGATTGTTCCGTGCTGGGACCAGTTTCGCAGCTGATTCTGCACCAATTCCACCACTCGTGTGTTAAGCCAAGGATGCTCCCTCCCCTCCACTGACAACTGACCACTCCCACGTGACAACCATCACACCGCTCCAGCATTCCAGCCGTCGGATCCCTGTGGCAGCGAGCTGGCGTTCCCGTGCTTCAGGCTCACTTCGCCGTGCGTTTTCACTGGTTTCGACGACAGTCATTTGCACGCGTGTGTGCTTTGCATTCGCTTATGCCGTTTGCGTATGGTCGTTGAGGCAGTTAAGCTCTGTACGCTTCGATGCCCTTTTCGTCGGGAGCTGCGCCAGCTAGTTTTTTTACCATTGGGTGTGCTCATCCTAGACTTATCTGCATCAGATAATGCTGCGTGCCATCACCATTGTCATTACGTAAATGGCTAAGCTCAGCGTTATAACGTGGGATGTTCGGGGGCTTGAAAATGAAAGAAATGGAGACCAGTTGTCAAGGCACCATTTCACCAGCAAGTACCTCCACAGGCACAATCGCAGGCTCCAGGAAACGGCACTTGACCCCAGGTTGTGAGCCGTGCTGGATGAGCGAGTAAAGGTAGTGCATTCTCCTCAACACATGGTGACACCGGTCAGTCGAAAGGAGGTTTGCATACTCGTCCCACAGGGACTCACGAGTTTGATTGAAGCGATTGACACTGTCAAAATTATCGCGATTCACAGGAGGTGCTTATGCTCATGTAAGGTTGCATTTCGATAACATGTTTTCAACTTTTAAGTTTGTATACCCATTCCTATGCGGTTAGGCAGCATCCTTGTTTAAATATGTTGAGGGATAGCTAACGCTCAAGATGATCTATCCAACCTGATCATCGCGGCGGACCCAAACGTGCATCAAAGCGAGTTGGATGCAGATGGACCGCAAAGAGGAACACTACAACCGTCATAAATTTTGAAGGAAATAATCAGCGACTTTGGGCTGTTAGGCATGGGGGTGGCTCAGCCCTCAACAGAAACGATTCACGTGGCGGGTTCTGAACTCTCTACAGGAATCTAGAATTGATGACTTTGTAATGAGCGGCACCATGGGTCTTTCTCAAAACGTCGCCCTGGAGCAAAGAGCCGCCTGTCTTCAGCCACCATAAAGTCATAGCTTTGCATATAGAGCAGCAGCAATGAGAGGCGTTGTCCAGATGTATGGAGGCTGAATAACAAGCTTTTAAGCGGTGACCTGTTAGCTGATGAGATATAGGATGAAATTCGTGCTGCTAAGAATAAAGAAGGTTACGCATGCTGGCTGTAGCAGCCTTCAAGTGCTGATTCAGATGTTGCTGAATAACGTTAGGCTGCTATGCGTACGAAAGGGCAAAGAACTAACTCCAGCTAAGCGAGACCGTGAAAGGAAGAAAGGACAGAGTGTCACTATCGCACTCATGTTTGAGAAGCTCCTGTGAGGAGAGCGTGATTCAGAACTGTAAAGAAGCTAAGGCAGAGTTAGAAAAACCCAAACCAGAAGCTGGAAAAAGAGATGCTCTTCTCCAAAGTAAACTGGTTAGAAAATGGCAACAAACCTCCTTAATACTTTTTGGGCTGATGAAGACACGAGCCAAAGACAAGGTAACCTGCATGCTACAGGACGAAAATGGCTCGTCAGTTCCAGGGGTAAACATATTCTCGAAGTTTCTCGATCGTTCTTCGTGGGGCTGCATGGCTGGAACACAGCTCCTGAGAGATACTTAGACTTCATTGAAGATATTCCACAACTGTTGAACAACGACCGTGCCCCATGCGAGGAAGAAACTACACGCGAAGAGTGCAAATACAGTTCAGATAAAATGGGTGTTCACAAGTTACCGTTGATATCAGGTTTTACAAAGGAATTTTCAGCGCTTCTGGGACGATTTTGGAGGTCTAATGACAGACTGCATCAGTGACATCAGTTTCAATCAGGTTTGTTGTTCATAACTCGAAGCCTGCAGTGACGTCATTACAAAATAAGTGCCTAGGTTTTTATACGCTTAGGAAAAGTAATCAAAAATTGGTTACTTCGGATGAAAACGACTTCATTAAAGGCAAGAATGTTCGTGGTGACATAAGAACCATACAAGACGCTATTGATTATACCACCATTGACGACAGTACCGGCATATTATGTGTGATTTTAGGTCGGCATTCAAGTAACTGGAGCATGATTTCATATTTAACAGGTTGCGTCGATTCCATTTCGGAGATGATTTTATAAGATGGGTCTGGTAATTGTTCAAGTTGGCCATAATTAGCAGCGGTCTCACTCCCAAATCGTTTTCTCTTCAACGTGGTACACCGCAAGGGTGCTCTCTCAGGCGTGCTTTTTGCACCGGCTGTATAGATGCTGCCTATAAAGATGCGCTCTTGCATTCAAATCAGGGAAATCGCCAATTTGGGGCAGAACTAAGTGCCGCAACGTGCAGATCACACAACTGTATTTGTAAAAAAAGAAGAGTTCGAGAAAGGAGAAAGTATCTCAAAGACTTTGCTGGGGCGTCCGGACTTGAATGGAATTTTAATAAAAGCAAGTCACTGTGGCTGGGCCGGCATCAGTCAAATCTGCAAACCGTATCTGGCAACCAAGCTTGCAGTTCAGTTAAGATTCCACGTCTTTGGTTTTCTGCAAAGACAGATTGTGCTGAAGAGACTCTAAATCTCATAATACGTGGCATTATGGGTGTGTTGGACATGTGAGCACAAGGACATTTAACTATAAAAGGAAGAATAACAGTTGCCAAGATCTGATGTTTTCTAAGCTGATGTGTCATTTCTTGCGTGGCTATTCACAATCGTTTCCTGGTGCAAGTTCCAAATTTAGGCATGAAGTCTACTGGTGTCGCAGACCACACGAGGTGGCCGTGAAATACTCTTCCTAAATGAAAAGCAAGGAGGCTTAGGAGCATCTTCTGTACATTGCATGCACACCATCTCGTAGCTTTGCTAGATCGTCGGCCTGCCGCGGCGTACATCCAAGAGGCAGTTAATTTTTCAAAGACGTCTAGCTCCACTTCTCATCAGTGTACTGCTCAAGAATAGCTTTGGCGAAGAGAGAAGCTGCTGGGTTAGCTGAAGAAGGGAAGCTGCAAATTAAGCATTTTCTATTCAGACCTGCTCCGAAGATTACGAGCTTGGTTCTGCAAGACTGAACCAGACCCAGCATAACTAGTAAGGGACGAGATGATATGGTTTAAAGGCATCCTGATTGGGTATTGTCCTGCCTTCCATCGCCACATGGGTCTGTGTGGCACACGATTCTTTGATGACAT